TAGTCATGCAGGATATTGGCAGAGACAGAAAACAGAAAGCGTATCATTGACTCACCAATCCATTGTTTGGCTGAAGTGGGAAAAGACATAAATATTATCAAACTGTATCAGAGGAAAATCTATACACAAACCAAGTTTAAGCCTTCAAACACATTTGAACTTCAGTCTAAATAAACAGATTACCCTGAAGTCTCTGGCTTGCATGTATCATCAAACATCTGCTATACTATACAACAAAATTATTTGGCTCCAGTCATTTCAGTCTACTTCTGTAATTTCTAGCAGAATTTAATTATTTAGCTGAATCAGCTTTGCACTTTCTCAAGGAAAACACTGCCTGTATTTCAAAAAGCCAGTTTCCATTCATGGCACTAAGAAGTAACACAGATTTTGACTGGATGGTAAACCAATTAACATTGTTACTTCTAAGTATTTTGATTCTTGGAAATACCTTCAAAATGCAAGGTGATTTGTATTTAAGAATACTTGGGTGGCCATAATGTTCTTCCAAGAACACAGATAAACTTAGCATCCATTCAAACATTTATAGTCTTTGTAATGGCAGGAGAAAACACAAAGCTGAGCGGGAGGGAGGGGGGGTCTACAGTGATATATTGCCTGAAGATGCATACAGGATTGAAAACCCCTATTGTCCATGAAACTGTGTAAATAGGAGTTTCACTCCATTCTACATGTCAACAAACCCTGGTAGCACTATCAATGCTAACTGTGCTTAATTCAGACCTAGAGGAAAACAGTATTTTCTAGACTACAATTCCCAGACTCTACCAGCTAGAAAAGCTGTAGTCCAAAAAGTCATTTTTCCAAGTTCTGATTTGATTTAATGCCAGAAATGCTGTCAAGATGAAACTGGAATGGGAAAAAGGCTTAATGTTTAGATACAATAAGGCAAACAAAGCAATTCTGAATCAATCATGCTCATGACAGTTAAGTTTATCTCCTAAGTCATTTGGCTGCCTTGTGTTCTTGAGTAATGAAAAGGTTCTTCATCTTCTCTAGTTAGAAAGAAGATCCAGGTGGTCAAGAGTTACTTTTGCCAGTAAGGTGAGATGGGGAGCCTGCAGCCGTCTGGATTTTGGACCACAACTCTCATCAGCTAAACATGATGGGAATCAAGCTAGTTCTTATTAGCATGGAAAACAATTCGAGGTATTTGTAAAACATTATCCCTAGCATGGTGGAGCTCACAAGTAACTCAGCAGCTTTGCAAAAGAATCTACTGAACACAATGCCTATGAACACAATTGTGTCAAAGTGTACTACCAACAGTTGCCCTAAGTGATTATTCAAACAGTGGTCATTTAAATTTGATATCCTGTATTTTCAGGGCGTAAATGAAATACACGCAACACTGTCTCACAACATGTCTAGAATCAGTCTTTGGAACAAATAATTTGCCATGTAATCTTCAATATGTTTACTCAAACCTCATTATGGTCAATGAGTCTTACTACCTAGTAAATAAAGGGGGGCTGCAGACGGGTGGCTCTGGGCTGCCCTGGGAAGCGGCCGCAAAAGAGCGCTCTAAGAGCCGGTGCAGCGTGTCAGGATGCCGCCCGTGAGGGGTTGGGGTGGCTGGCGTGAGGCTATCCTGCCCCATCTCTGCCTCCAGGCCAGCACTTTGGGCCAGTCTGTAGAGACCTATAGTTAGTATAGCAACCTCAATATAAATGTTACAGGCAGCATCACAAATTAGAAAATCTCTTTCATCTAGGAATCAGCATGTGTTACACGCCTAGATCATAACTAATATAACAACCCCACACAGCGACAGCTCATCATGTATTTATTTATACATGGGCTAACAAGCTGCAAATCAATTATGTTTTTTTTTATCACATAGCAAACAATTTACTCAGAAGAAAGATCATTAGACAATAAATAAAAGAGATGGATATTAATTCATTATTGCCTAGAAAGACATTCCTGCCACATATTTCTGAATTCCTGAAATCATGTCTTGAATGTTGTAGCTGAAGCACCCTACAAACAGTGAGTGGGCAAGCTGTTAAAGTCCAAGACGAAATCTTTTCTGCAAAAGGAGAATCTAGGATAACAAGGTCTACAGGTGTAGAAAAGGGAGCTTTTGTTTTGTATCTGTTTTGTTTTACAATTCCTCCTTCCCATGAAACTCTTCATGTCACAGCCTACACTCTTATGAAGACTTCTGGTTCTCTGAGGAACCTTTCTCTTTGAAAGCTGAGGATGCCAAGACAAGCCCACTTCCATTCACCATTACAGTCAGAAGCCTCTACTGATTCAAATAACCTCCCACTTGGGGAAAGCCCACTGAGGTTGGAGGTTTTTAAACAGAGGGTGGATGGCCATCAGTCAGTCAGTGCTTTGATAATGTCTGCATGGTAGGGGGATTGGACTGGACAGCCCTTGTGGTCTCTTTCAACTCTATGATTCTATTACTGTATTTCAGTGCAATCCTATATATTTCTAGAACTAGAACTCAGTCCTTTTGAGCAGAATGGAACTTACTCCCTAAGTTATTACACAGTAGGATTAAGGGACCTATAGTACTCTAGAAGTGATTGGACTAGAACTCCCATCATTTTGCACTACTGGTTATGCTATCAGGGATCAAGGAAAACTGGGAGTCCAACAACATTTGGAGTGCTACAGGTCTTCCAGGCCTCATGCCTTTCAGCTCTTATTACAGCTTTTAAGATGTTTGAAACAAAACATTCACCTCTCAAACTATATGCTTTTGAAACATTAAATTTCTGAAACATTTTCTCCACAAACATCAACTCATAGTAGAAACCCATCCCTAAACATGTTTATCTTAGGGGGGTTGCAGACTGCCAGAAATAGTGCAAATTGAGTCCACCTTTAGGGTTGGGGTTAGGGAATCATGGGAACTGTATTTTATTGTGGCATCAGAGCTCACTGACAGAGAAGGCTATATGTCTCAGAAGAAAAAAAAAACAATTACCATGATTCCCTAGCACTAACCCTTACTCTAAAAGTGGACTCAATTTGCACTATTTCTGGCAGTCTGCAACCTATTTTACTTTTGTTTTCAACAGGACTTAACTTTCATTACCATAGCTCTTCTCTTGTATTGTAAGAGCATCTAATTGCAAGTTTTCAATTTCTAAAAGTTTATACTTAACAGGCTGTGGAAAACCAGAGCAGTGGCATACTGCCATCTTAAACTAATTTACAATAGTCCCTCCACATTTGTTGGGGTTAGGGGTGAAAGATCCCTGTGAATATGGGAAAAAACACAAATAAAGAAACACTATTCTTTTTACCAAGGCTGTGACTATCAAAAGGAGGATCCCTGTAGTAATTCTTTATCACAGCCTCATTTTCTGGTGAGGTGTGTAAAAACATCATCCAGCCATGTGATTGCTACCAGTGGACTTCCTTTTTTTGGTGTGGCTGATGCTCAGTAAAGCAGGTGTGGATGGATCCAGCCAAGAGAAATTGCTTAGGGCCTAAGCAGACTGCCAGAAATAGTGCACATTAAATTG